GGGAAAAAAACATATATATATATATTTCCATGCATGTTTATGGAATAAAATTCAACAGGAATCTAAGAAGAAAAAAGTTTGAAAATCCGAAACAGATAAATGTTGTCTTCAAATGATATTGTCTTTGTATGGAAATCGTACTACTACGAGTGTCTTGTAAAAGAATTAGGAATAAATGAGCACTCAGGTAATCCCACATACAAAAGTATATCATTTGACAAGGATGAGATTTTGGCGAATCATAATTCCTTTATGGCTTCAATGAACATTACATTGAACAGCAAATCTGAGGACTTACCTTGTTTGTATTGGATACCTAAGCTTCACAAAATTCCGTACAAACAACGGTACATTGCCGGCTCATCTGCATGTATTACAAAGAAATTGTCCATAAGATTAACAAAAAATCTGTCCGCAGTGAAAGAGGGTCTTCAGAAATACAGTGAATCTGTTTACTAGCGTAGTGGTATTAACCATATGTGGATTCTAAAAAACTCTAAAGAACTTCTGGATAATTTTAAATCTCGATTTTTCTCTGCAATTAATTCTATCAAAACTTTTGATTTTTCAACCCTGTATACCACCATTCCCCATGTGAAATTGAAAAATCGTCTACAAGAAATAATCCACAATGCTTTTCAATATAAAAATGGTAGCATACGCTATAAATTTATTACTTTGGGGTATCATACGGCATATTTTGTTAATTGTGAAACATGCTACACAGAAGAAAAGTGATCAGTATGCTGGAGTTTCTTATAGGCAACATATTTGTTGAATTTGGAGGTAGACTTTTTTCAACAAATTGTCGGCATTCCTATGGGAACGAGCTGTGTGCCTCTCCTTGCCAACCTCTTCTTATTTTCGTATGAGTCGGATCCGGAGTTCCTTCAAAAACAAGAAGATCAAAGAAGCCAGATCATTTAATTTCACATTCAGATATATTGATGATGTTCTTTCCATTTACAATCCAAACTTTTCTGATTGGGTTCCATTGGTATATCCTCCATCACTAGACATTAAAGAAACAACAGACACGACTTCCTCCGCCTCATTTTTAGACTTATACCTCGAATTTGACAAATTTCACCCACCTAAGTAGCAATATACCAACTTAACCTGCATATGGGATATACATTTCCCAACTCATTCGGTATTCAAGAGCTTGCAGCTGCTACTCAGACTTTATAAAACTTCACCAGTGTCTGAGCAGAAAGTTGATGAACCAGGGTTGTATCAAAGAACGTCTCGTCCTTTTTCTAAAAAAGTTCATCGGAAGATACCAAGACCTTGTTGATAAATATTCCGTATTTACTTCACAAATATTACATGATGGTCTTGAAGTATAGATTCTAGGTACTGACGTTGTTTATCATCTTAATTACGTGTTATAGTGTTCTTTTATTTGTCTTTGTAAATTATTAACCTTTACTGTTTAGTCCATTTATTGTAATATCCTTTTGGCGTGGCTTGGTACTTATACATCCTGCCATTGTGTTGTTGTGGTATGGTCATTTTTTGTACTTTTTTGTCTTTCATTTTTACTTATGTGCTTTGTCTACATGCCAATTTTGTTTTTCTTTGTTGACATATTTCTTTGTTTTTATAGTGATTAAGACTAGAACACAATGTTGACTGCTGTACCCCTATTTTTGACATTTTTTTCTATTATGTATGTTTGTTTTGTTCACACATTGTTGTCAAAATATTGCAATTTTATGCGACTGTCATACAAGTGAGAGGTTTAGCTAGCTATAAAACCAGTTTTAATCCACCATTATCTACATAAGGAAATGCCTGTACCAAGTCAGGAATATGACAGTCGTTTGATGTGATTGAGCTTTTGATTTTACCATATGGTAAGGGACTTTCCGTTTTGAATTTTCCTTGGAGTTCAGTATTTTTGTTATTTTCCTTTTTTGTGAGGGCATCAAATCAAAATGGTCTAAACAGAGCAGCTAAACTCGCCTTAGTTTCAACTTTACCAAAGGGGGTTACAACTTTAGTTTAGTATTAATACACAATTCATGAACAGTGCCAATATAGAAGCATTGGTTACTGGTAAACTTTTCTTCTTTAATTAACCCTATCGATGATTTAGCATTGTATTATATATCAACTGAGTCTTGCATTAACAGCTGACCTTAACTATGATATGTGACAAACTTATTTCAAAATATTAACAGAAAAGGCTATAATTTTTGTGTTCATCTGTTGCATTTTTGGAATGACAGGATCGCGAGATGACGAATGTCATTGACAAGGACTTATGTACATCGGATTGAGCCTAAATGCTGCTATAGAAAACACCACAGAAACTTTGTTGTCAAAAAGTGATATTCGAAGAGAGATAGGGATAATTCAAAAACATTCACATGGTCTGAAAATGTATGTTTGTAAGTTTGTGTAAGTGTGTGGGTCTACAAAGCACCAATACCATCGTTATTCTTTTGTTACTAGTACTTAATTCTTTAAATTGAAAATTTTTTAGAACTAATTTCCTAATGCTTGTAGATTGAGACTGTTTGGCTTGCTTGCTTTGTTTGTATAAACGTTTGCTCAAGCATTGTAATTAAGATTGACATCTGCAACATATACAAACAGGCGGAGTTAAACCTGTATACATTATACTTAAATCATATTGGATGTAATCCTGGAGGTTAGGAATCTAAATATAATGTATACAGGTTTAACTCCTCCTATTTATATTGTTTGCAGATGTCAATCTTTATTGCAATGCTTGAGCAAACATTCATACAAACAAAGAAAGCAAGCCAACCAAAGTCTTACTCTACAAGCATTATGAAATTAGTGATCAGTATGCTGGAGCTTCTTATTAGCTCTAAGCTGAAAAGGGTTTTTACCCTAACAACACGGCTATTGACAGTTGTGAGGTAAAACTATAATAGCAACTAGCAAGGCCTTTTACTCAGACGAAACGGTAACAGGTTAATTTAGTACATGTTGATTCCTCTTTTATCTATTTTTATTTCAATTAATTTAGGTAGATTTCACTATAGAAGTATTCATTTTCCATACATAAACAATCCATTTTGGTACATTTCGGTACATCAATGCTCCATTCTTATCTAGTTTTGTTCCATTTCGATACACCATTGCCCGATTTGATACAGTTCGGTCCATTTCGTGTAAAAAAAAACTTGCTGGTAGAAAAGAACTAGGATTTAATAAATTCTGTTAATGAAATTTTTGCAAACCATATAAAAAAAGTGTTATACCTATAAGTTTGTATCAGGATTTATGATGGTGAATAAAATTACTGGAATCGTATAACAAATAAATTAGCTAATATATTTTCATCTCGGTTAGTTAATTTAAATAGTAAAACCAAATGTCATTTAAATCTAATTTTTTACGGTATTTAAAGAATGTTTACATGATAATATCTATTACCCGCTATATTTGATAAATATATCCGGTTGTCGAAGTACACATGAACTGACCGCCGGTATCGTGCATAACCTGTAGATTGTGGCGAATATATAGATATATAAAGCCCTCTTTTTACACCTATGATTGGTACTAACCAGTGTTTTATGTTACACAAGCCTGCTTGAAATTTGTTTAAGTAACAACCTGATGCTAAACATGCGATTATCGGTGGCAACAATTACCTCATCTTCCTAGTCAGTACACAATTTACCCAGGACAATATTTAAGTAACTCCATATTATTGTATTGTATAATAGGGTTATTGTATTAATATTAGGGAATATTGTCCCGAGTAGATTTTTATATTTCACGAGCTGGCGACTGCAATATATATACTACGAGGGATAATTTTTATAAAATAACCCTTCAATTGTATAGCAAACTTTTTGTCACTGATGATGTTACTTATTTGAAGTTTCATTTTGCACTAACGTTATATGATACATTATTACACACTATTTTTTGTTATGTTCTATATGAAATATGTTGTTATACAATACCATACATACAATAAATACAATACAATACAATACAATACAATACAATACAATACAATACAATACAATACAATACAATACAATACAATGCAATTACAGGCGCAATAAAGAGCAGAGTAAGTGTAATCAATTTTAAAAAGCAATAATTATACCCGAATCATAATAAACGTCTTTCTTTTTTAGCCGTGCTGCGACCTCAAAATGTCTTTTGTGGTAAATTTTGTTATTACATGTATATCAATGTCTCATTGGTGTTTTCTCTGAGATGATGATAAAAAAAAGATGAAAACAAGATAAAAAAAACTGATTGACTTGAAATTCAATAAGATCATTTTTAGTCTCTCTTTTTTTTCTCACATTAGATCTAACAGCAAAATGCATGTAACACTTTAACACACTTTTTTATATTAAGTGTAATACACATAATTTTTCGAATAAAAATACTTCCAATGGAAAAATTGTAAAGTTTTGTAATGGAATTTATGCAAATTTTCTTGACTTTTGCTCTGTTCACCATTTGATTATATTTAAGAACAAACTACTTACTACTATAATTAGTTGATGAATTAACTTTAATTTAAGAGAATTATAGTGAGGATATACATTACACTACAGTTACTTCTTCTAATGCCAATCAATAACTGTTCCAAAAATATACTTCTGTTTTTTTTTTATATATCTTTGCATGTTCATATAAATTTCTCCGTTTAATAATATTCTCCATTAACAAACTCATATTTTCACGAGAAATGTTGAATTATTTGGCCCCTTGAAACATACAGCCAAACTGATAACAACAACTGCTATATTTTCCGTTTGGATCCGGATATATCGGTCCATTTCCAGATGATGAACAATATAGTTCAATTTCCATATCTAATACTCGGGAACCTTGATTTGAGCCAAAAGGATTTGTACTTGGGTCATACTGGCAGCATTTTGTTTGATCATTGATGTTGCTTATTCCAGAGTTATTGCCATACGACTGTTCATCTGAACAAGCTGTGTTTTCATGTAGCGTAAAATATAGAGAGAATGCTAGAGCATATGTAGCCAGTCCAATGATTATACCAAGTATGATGAGAGCAACCGAGTATTTGGAATGACGTCTTGCTTTTTTGTAATCATGAAGGTGCCAACTGTGCTTTGCTGAAACTATGAAACATTTTTGTAGTGCATTTGCTTCTTCTAAAAATATTTGTAATGACAAAAACAGAACCTGTCAATATTAAACGTTTTTAGATTAACTACATAACTAAGCACACATATTTACCCATTTGTATATTTACTTAAGTCATTGACCCTAAAATCCATCCGATTGAAAAATAAAATATAAGGTGCACTATGCCCTGATTATGTTTATCGAGATTAAGCAAGTTAATAAGAATTGATTGATTTGTGTTTAACGCCACTTTCAGTACTATTGTTCTATTTCGTGGCGGTCAGTTTTTATTGGTTTAGGAAGCTGAAGTTCCCAGAGAGAACCACCGACCTTCGCTTTGAAAACTGACAATCCTTGGTAAATTAAGAATGGAGTCGAGCGCACCTGCATCGTGTGGGATTTGAACTGACAACCTCAGTGCTACAGTAGCTCGATTTCTTAGGCCACGACCACCGATACCCCCCCCCCCTTTCTCCTCCCTTGTTGTTGAGGAGGTGTTGTTGATATTAGATCTGCAATCTTTTGGTACATGCAATGGCAAACGCCAGAAATTTTTTGGATAATAAAAAATAAAAAAGAAGTGAACAGGTACTGCTGATCCTCCGAATTTTCCTTTAAATTCAACCACTTGATGCAGATGCTTACGGACGAATGGATGCAGCTTCCACTATTTGCTTCACCTTACACTTAAAAAAAAATGTTAACGTTAATGGTTCAATTTTCCTGATGCTACTCGCATTCGTAAATTAATGATTTGTTGGGTCACTCGTTCTTAAAATGAAAAAGAAATTCGAATAGTTATTTTAAAAATGATCTTTTTCTATGTCGTATACCAAACAGTCGTCAGCTGAGGGTTATTCCGATGTAAACTAAGTGTTGCCCCATATCAGAGATTAATTCATTTACTATTCTGAAGCATAGCCTAATATTTAAATGCCATGTCGGCCATGTTGATTGGCAAGCGGGGTCATTGGACACATTTTTTCAACAAGATTACCAAATAATGATTGTGTCCTAGTTTTTGTTAAATTTGATCAAGTAGTTTCAGAGGAGATGATCTTTGTAAAAGTTTACGGACGACAACTGACGACGACAGACGACGGACGCCAAGTGATGGCAAAAGCTCGCACTAACCCTCAGGGTCAAGAGAGCTTAAAACATCAGAAAAAAGACAGATAATCTGGTTTCATGTTAACATGGTTACTTATCGAAGGAGAGAACACATTCTTTAGAAGTAACAGTTGAATTCCACATCTATGCTCACATAATAGAAATAAGAAGATGTGGTATGAATGTCAATGAGACAACTCTCCATCCAAGTCACAATGTGTAAAAAGTAAACAATTATAGGTCAAAGTACGGACTTCAACACAGAGCCTTGGCTAACACCGAATAGCAAGCTATAAAGGGCCCAAAAATGACTAGTGTAAAACAATTCAAACGGGAAAACCAACGGTCTAATCTATATAAAAAACGAGAAATTCTATATGAAATAAGTGGATGATCATTAGTATCAATCTATAATATATTTTTCTTTCACACTTGAAAAATAAAATCAACACAATCATGATCTTACCGTTGAAGTGGTATGCAAAGAATCCACATATGTGATTAAACAATACTGTAACTATGAATGCAAGCACCGAAAAATCCTTCGGTTGTTTAGGCTTTGTTCCCCATGCGGTAGGTAATTCTTCAGAATGGACTTTATTATTACTGACTGCTGACAGACTCGGTATTGATCCGGACATGGTGCTATAAATTAGCAAACCTTTTAAAAAAAGAGATCAGAAGTTAATTGGAATTCAAATTGATAGGCCGCGAATTAGATGCACAAGAAAATGAACAACTGCGAGAAGAATTTTTAATGACGATTTTATTTCAGTCAAGAAGCAAAGAAGACTCGGAAACTGCATGAATAATTTAAAACAAATGATCAGAAAATGATTTAAAGACTAACGTCGGACAATGAAAGAGAGGAACAGTAGGGTGGTTTTTCCACGTCGTATGATATAGTTATTATCCAGCAGCGTCATTTTAACTTGAATTTCCCTTAGATATTTTTTAACATTTTTTTAAACACAAAAAAAAACCCGCAAAAAAACCAGACTACTTTACGTGATATAACATCAGATCTACTTGGGTTCCGACTTACTCACTTAAGAATATTGGTTATACAAAAACTTATATTTTTAAAAGCAATACTTCACTTCATTAAAATAGAATCCTCAACTCTGCTATGATTACGTTAGTGACAGTTACATGTTTAATTTGCATATTAAAGCTTGTTTTTTCGTTCAAATACAAATGAGTTTCCCTTTCCTCTTATCTGCTTGCTTCAAATGTCAAAAGTCTTCTATGAATTCGGCATTGATCCAAAATATTTAATTTTTGTAAATAAGAGTTTATCACACAAACAAACATTTCTATCAATTTCATCCTATACATTACAAAGTATAGTAACTTTAAATGTGTCAGTCAATCGGCACAAAACTGCGCTAAAAGTAGGCTAAAAGTAAATAACTCTAATTAAATTCCATTAAATGGCCGGAATAGGACTAGAAAATGGTGCATCTTTTCACAATTTATAGGGAAGTTGTAGTTATGCTATATAATAGTAAAATCAACTACAATAATTAATAACGAAATATTATACAGACATAATAACAAATCATTATTTCAAAAATTCTGTCTATCTGACTTAAGTTTACATTAGTGATCTAAAATTCTGTCTATCTGACTTAGGTTTACATGAGAGATCATTAGTGAGAGTTTTTGATATTCTTAGATTGCAGTCAAAAGTTCGTTATAAAGCATAACGTATCTTGATAATTGATGAACAAAATATTTTGAAAGTAAGATGAATTATCTACACCGGGCAACTTCAACGGGTGAGTGAAGCAGAATCTAAGGAAGTTCTTACACCAAGCTTCGATAACGACCACGATTACTGCATGTTGACTTCTCTCCCTTTTGTTAACTTTCCTAATGACGTTGTTACCTATCCAGTTGATACTTTACTCATGTTTCGGTAAGTGCGTATTCGCACAACATTTTGGAATAAAAAACGCAAGCATTATCATTACTTAAACTTGATCGAGAAATCAAAGAATAATAACCAAAACTTATACTAAATCTAAGAGAGGTAGAAAAATACAAACTATTCAGATGTTTTGTTTTGTTTTACTGTTTTCCGACATATTTCTTAATTTAAATTATTTGACCTTACTTTCACACATCCCTCTGCTCTAATATAAATAAGGAGATTCGGTATGATTATCAAAGAGACAACTTTTTGAAACATCTCAACAAAAGAAAAAACTTTGATACCGATGCTGGTGGACTATAAGTCCCAAAATTCAAAAATTTAAAAATTAATAAGAAACTCAAGTTTCAACTCCCTCAAGCAAAGTTAGAATTTAGATGGATATGGCTATTGTAGGTCTCCTTTGATCATATAGCTCGTCAACTGTTTTGGTTCTTATACATTCTTCAAAGTTGGCTTTCAAATAATCTGATTTGAGCGTTCCCGATGAGGGTGAATCCAGAAAAACGTCTCGGACGCATGCAATTTATAAAGTTTTGTTTTCATTTTTTAAAGGTCGCATTAAAGTTATTTTTACTTTATTGAGGTTAAAAAAAATAAATAAAAAGAAAAAAAAACCTTTTCAGGACGAATGACAATACATTTAAAGCAGTAAATGAAACGAATCTTTGATCATTTGACTTTATCCGTTATCATGCCAGCTTGTACCTTATACGTAATACTAATTTATTTTATATAATTTTACACTTACCATACTTAAATTGAAAGATTTAGAAGTAATATACATGGATTACTTTTGAATAAAAAATGTACTCACAGAAGTAGTAAATGCTCGAAATGAAATAAGTAATATTCGTTATGGTAATTACAAAGATTTTAAAGAGTTTTATTAGTATCTACAAATGTTTTTAAAATGAACACAATTATATGTTTGATAACGTGAGTTTAATTTACCCGTCTTTGTTAATATGACAGACATTTCTGTATAGTTATATTTGTGGACAAACTCATCATAGATACCAGAATTTCGAAAAGATAAAAGTTTTGTAAACAGTTAATTTATAGTTATGACCATACCAATGATAATTCATGTCAACACAGAAGTGCTGACTACTGGCCTGGTGATAACCTCTGGGAGGAAACCTCGACCAGCAGTGGCATCGACCCAGTGGTTGTTAATAAACTCATCATAGATACCGAGATGAACATTTTATACGCCTGACGTGCGTTTCGTCTACCAAAGACTCATCAGTGGAGCTCGAATCAAAACAGTTAAAAAGATCAAATAAAGTACGAAGTTGAAGAGTATTTTGGACCCAAAATTCCGAAAGATTTTGCCAAATACAAGTTAAGTTTTCTATTTATCTATTCCCGGGGTAGAAAATCCTTAGTATTTCGAGAAATTCAAAGTTTTGTAGACAGTTAGTTTATAATTATGACCATACCAATGATAATTCATGTCAACACAGAAATGCTGACTACTGGACTGAATATGAAAGAAGACGGGAAGTTAATATAACTTTTCAGTGGAAATAAAACTACAATGTCAAGCAAAGGTTTCGATTTTCAGTTAAAAGGGGATCGTTGAGATGAAGTATAAGTCGACAACATATAAACAATCTGTTAATTCTCAGAGATCATTGCTTAAAGTGTTCTGACCTTTACCAGCAATAGGCTTTATATTAGCCCGTTTACCCATAATAGTCCGACTTCAAGCACTGATGTTGTTCGGAAACTTCATCAAATTGTAAGTTATTCTTATCTTTTTGGATATTTATTTGTATTTTATTTTATATAAAGCATAATAATAAAAGTCTTAAATAAAAAATCGGTGCATCATACATATAGCGTAAGCAAAGAAATGCAATAAGAAAATTGTGCGGAAACATTGCATTATTGAAGTTACAAAAATAAAGATTATGATTCTATTTGAGACTGCCATTACTAGATCGATGAGTTTGGGGTTCTTCACAGGTTACCATCTCCTGTTTTAAAACATTTTTAATCAGATCAAGCCCTTCGTAGAAAATATTGGTAGGAGGAGTTGAATAATCAATGAAACATGGGTGTCGATCGCAATAATTTCCCAAGGAACTTGGTAAGTGTGCTTGATTAAATAATTCAAAATAGTATAAATCGCAAAGCTCGTCATTCCTATTATCAATCAAGAGTTTGAAAGAGTTAAAAATAGGATAACAGCATTCAGTCCGTTCAGAGTAATTTAATCGTTGTCAATATAATGGAATTTGATGCGACTGTCATACAAGTGAGAGGTTTAGCTAGCTATAAAACCAGGATCAATCCACCATTTTCTACATAAGAAAATGTCTGTACCAAGTCAGGAATATGACAGTTGTTATCCATTCGTTTGATGTGTTTGTTTTTTTGATTTTGCCATTTGATTGGGGACTTTCCTTTTTGAATTTTCCTCGGAGTTCAGTATTTTTGTGATTTTACTTTGTAGTTTATATTTAGAATTCTGAAAAGAAAAACATCTTTTCAACATTTTTTATCGCATCTTATAGAGGTTTTAAAAGATCATTTCATTTTGTTTGGCAGACAACCACATGGTGTTTTAAATTGACGTTTTATGTACTAATATAAAAATAAGTAGATGAGATACGATTGATAATGAAACAACTTTCCAATAAGGGACTTTCCTTTTTGAATTTTCCTTGGAGTTCGGTATTTTTGTTATTTTACTTTTTTCCACATAGTCTAAACTGACGTACGTGTAAGCAACTATTGGTCGCCAACAATAAGAAAAAAACATACCGTATAGTCAGCTAAAAAGGCCCCGACATGACAAAATATGAAGCAAAATCAAACAGGTAAGTACTGATATTCTACGGGGTTGCCAAAGCATTGGCCGTGGGCACATTTTGATAATGAAGCGTTTCTGCGTTTCATTCAAAATATACTGAAGTCAGTGCTGTAACACACACACAAAAAAAAAGAAAAGGAAAGAAGTATTCATTTTTTTTTTATCATAACACAAATTTCGCAAAGAGTTATTGATGTCGAGCAAAATATCAAGAAGTTCGCAAATGATTCTGATAATGTAAATAATTCGTAATTTTTCATATCTTTGTCTTCTTATCCGTATGAATAGTTGTATCATCGGAAATCATACCGCATCTCTTTATTTGTATACTAATGTATTTTAAAAGTAAGTCCACTATTGTTTGATATTGCTCAGGACAACAAAAAGGCAACAGAAACGGCGTTACAGATGTATTTATACCTTTTCGTTTTATAAACACTATTATAGAAAACCAAAAATATAAAATCTAAGGTTCTTTGAGGCCTTAGATTCTGAGCCGAAATGATAATTTTTGCTGGATGTATAGTTTGTCAATATAAGAGATGTTATTAATCTTTAAAAATCTTTATCGTTAAGATGTGCTATCCTTTTCTCCAATATATTTTGCTATTATTTTACAAACTTACCTGCGGTGAATCTGTTTTCACTTTGATTGGAGTTTTAAAAATTCGTTCTTTTTTTATTGCATCCTAATGACATAGTTGAAGGACCGTTTCAGTTTAAAAACCAACCAATGAAATTATATCTTTATCTTTAAACATCTTATAAGCATTGTCAAATCGACCAAATATCAATTGATTTTATAGCTTTTTCTTTTCCATATTATTGAAAGAACAATGACTAAACTTTTTTTCTGTTTGACACGGTTAAGGATATGATTGACTACTCTAAAGCATGCATTTGTGGCAGAAGAAATAATTGTTTATCTAAAAACTCTTGTAATTTCATGGAATTTCATTTCTTAAAAAAACAAGCATCGATTTGAAGTATCCCGATAGCTTATAACGTGTGTTATGAGCATAATATGCTAAATTTACCGCAAAAGCTTTCCATTTAGGTCCTTTCTTTGAGGACAAACTGTTGATTTGCTTGAAAAAACTCATAAAAGTAGAAAGTACCTAATATAAATAAAAACGATTGATAATCAGCGAGTATATTGTTTCTGTCTTGTTGTTCCCTCTGTGCGCGACTTTAACTTGTAATTTCTTTCTTAATGATTTGTGCATTGTGTCGATGTATCACTGTTTCTGCCATTATAAGCTTGTATTCTGTGAGATAATTTCATTATTAACAAGTATTTAGTACTATATACAACGGATCGACTGTCCTTTCAGTTTAAAAAAAAGCAGGAGTTACCAAAGGGCGAATCAACATCCATAAGTCGAAGATAGTCCGAGATTTCTTTGACGTCTGACGGCCTTTTTATGACTTGCTAAGGCTGTGGGACGTCAGAGCGCGGAACGCGGTGACCAAGGACAGATTATGTATCATTTGAAAGACGAAACCTTGCATACTTAGAATATGCCTGATGTAAGGATCAGAAATGTCCCTGTTTTTTAAACTAAGCTCAAAGGTCAACGTTACAATGTTTTGAAAAAATTTGATGTATTTTAATTTTGATTTTGATTTTTTTTCTATATCAATATTCTTTAAGTAACACAATTATCTTAATTTGACTTCATTACCAGGAAATTTTTGTGTAACAACTAAATCCTAGATATTTGTTTCAGAACAATTTCTCAAAACGACGTTTTTAATTTCAAAACTCAAAATATGAAGCTTTAAACCATATAAAGTGAAATGACTATGACCTTACAAATGACTTAAATTTCACGAAAAATATCAATTGTCGCCAAAGAAAGTACTACAAAATTATTAATCAACAAACTTTGTATACGATGTATCTGACCGAAAGCAGTAACACAGTAAGGTTATAGTTGACGTCCTAATGATTGTGTCATATTGTTTACAACACGAATTTGTATTGCTTCTTCCCATAAAAATGCTTTCAATTGGGTAGTTTGATGACTTAAATATCTTTTGCTGGTCAGTTTTACTTCTTTACACTCATTTTATTTATTTTATCCCTTTCGTTTTGGAGCGTACTGCAGATGTTCAAAGCTTCCCAGATCTGTACTTCTTCATCGCCATTTCCGTCATCCATTACAAGATTTGTTATCATGCAACATTTTTCACTTACATGGCATGAACAGTTGTCTATGCATGACAGATTCTGCTGAAAGCAAACGAATTATTTTGAGTATTACAATAAAACATTAAAACTATCATATTAAGTACCAATAATATAGGACAGTAGAAGATACAACACCAACCACGAACACCTCAGAAAAAAATAAAATTGCAAACTACAGCGTTACACATTGGGTCAATAGTCTGATTTGGTACAACATACCATATATGGTAACAGTAACACATATAATGCAATAGAAATCTGCATAGTCAAGCTTCCAACATGATGACCACTAAATTGGAACCAAAGAAGTATAACATTGAATATAAACTAATCATAGATATCAGGCTTAAAATATTTTACGCCTGACGCTCGTTTCTTTACAAAAGACTCATCAGTGACGCTCAAATCCAAGAAGAAAAAAGGCCAAATAAAGTACAAAGTTGAAATGCATTGAGGACCCAAAATTTCAAAAGGTTTTGCCAAATATTGCCGAAAAGATAATTCCTCGATTGAAAAGCTTTTTCAAAACGTATTCAATTCCATAGAAAATAGTTAAGGTTGCCATAAATTTAGGTTGGATAGTGACAATCATGCAAAAAGGAAAAACATAACACTTGTAACATGTAACATTTTTAGGAAGATTAATCATGAAATCAATTGAAATCGGCAGTACTTGTGGGACGCCAGAAAGTATTATAAATTGTCAGACCATCGAAAACAAATTTTGTATGAAACATGCCAGTTTCTATTGATGAAAGATGCAATAACTTCCCGAGTTTAAATATGTGATTTTTCAATTTTTCAGTTTTACTTACGACATTTTAATAGAATATGGGATGAGAAACACTGTCTTGTATAAGATTTCATGAGAAACAGTATATTAACAGATAAGATGCTGATACCGGATACATTTTTTATAGATTCAAACGTCTGTGGTATCTCTAACCATGTGAACATTTTATTTTTGTTAATGGAAGATAAGGGTCATTAAACATAATGTAGAAAACTATATAAGTTAACTTATGTACACGCCATAGAAAGCGATAACAGGAACATCCTCATTTAGAAAAGGAAAATTGTCTCTACACTTAAGAACCTAATTTGTCACTTTGTACTAATTACAGACATTGTTTATCTGATTAAAACACAAATCCGTTGTCCATGCTTTACTTACAAGAAAAGCGTATACACAGGATTGAGACATTGTGAAGTCATTTTAGAAAATACAAAAGCATTGGAACTTAGAATAATAATGGCTCCAATCCAACCAAATTTTATAGACCTAGGAGGTGGTTTACATATGTGAATCATTTCTGGAAGGATGCTTGAAGCAAATGGCGTCTAAACGTGAATTCATCAGGCAGTGGCTTGGTCAGACACGTATCTTAGTAGCAAGTTTTATACTCAATATATTTAGGGCAAGTGTATACACTGTTTATTTTACCTTTTTTGATAATACAACATTGCAACTAGCTTTCTTGCAAATAGAAAAGATTCATTAATATCACAGTTTGCCAATCTGACATCTGTTTAAGAACTTTGAAAGCAATCATCTTTCATTTCCGATAAGAGAAATATCATTCAACTGCATGTGCCACAGGCAAGCATTAAAAGACCATTGGTTTCTTGATTGACAACATATTTGTTACCTTTGGAGGACGTGTGTTTCAGCAAACAATCGACATTCCCATGGGAACCAACTGTGCTCCGCTTCTTGCCGACTTGTCCCTTTATTCATATGAGGATGACTGCATATAAGAAAGAGGGACGAAAGATACCAGAGGGACAGTCAAACTCATAGATCGAAAACAAACTGACAACGCCATGGCCAAAATAAAAAGACAAACAGACAAATAATAGTACAGATGACACAACATAGAAAACTAAAGACTAAGCAACACGAACCCCACCAAAAACTGGGGGTGATCTCAGGTGCTCCGGAAGGGTAAGCAGATCCTGCTCCACATGTGGCACCCGTCGTGTTGCTTATGTTATTACAAATCCGGTAAATAGTCTAATTCGGTAAGTCACATTCGTGAAAAGGGAAGGGTATTGTAGTTACGACATAAGGAACATATCCGATATCATCTATCATATATCCGATAAGAGCTTCTCAGGAAGAATGAAAAGAAGCTAACATTATTAACTTCAAATTCCGCTATATAGATGAGGTCCTTTCACTGAATTCAAAGTTTGGTGACTTTGTTGAACTCATCTATCCCATCGAACCTTGAAATAAAAGACAACAGATACAGTTAAGTCTGCGTCATATCTTGACTTTCGTCTAGAAATTTACAATGATGATCGGTTGAGAAATAAAGGCAACAGTAGTATACCGCTATTCGAAATTCATAAATCGATAGAGAAAAAACAAATCCGGGTTACAAACTAAAACTGAGGGAAACACATCAAATATAAGAGGAGAACAACGACACAACAGAAACTCAACACTAAAATGCAGAAACGAACTATAATATAACAATGGCCATTTTCCTGACTTGATACAGGACATTTTAAGAAATATGGTGGGTTGAACCTGGTTTTGTGGCTAGCCAAACCTCCCGCTTTTATGGCAATGTTAAATATAACATTAAAATGACAAGATTACATGACAGGACTACAATACAAATAAATGGGAGAACATACAGGACAGAGACACACAAATAATAGCTATCAAAAGGTACCAGGCTTATAATTTAATACGCCAGACGCGCGTTTCGTCTACATAAGACCCATCAATGACGCTCAGATCATAAAAGTTCGAAAGCCAAAATAAGTACAAAGTTGAAGAGCATTGAGGACCAAAAGTTCCAAAAAGTTGTGCCAAATACGGCTAAGGTTATATGCCTGGGATAAGAAAATCCTTAGTATTTAGTATAATTCATACTTTTGCAAACAATAAATTTATAAAAATGACTATATAATAGATATACATGTTAACACCGATGTGGTGACTAACTACAGAATAAAAACGAATACATAAAACAACCTAAATCAGCACATAAAAAAGGCACAGCCGAACAACGTATTATATGTTAGCCGAAGAAATCGATTCACAATGTGACGTCACATTTAAATTTCTATAAATTTCCAAAGAATAGGATAGAGTTCAAGATTAGGTTTGTAATACTGATATAACATGTATTAATAACAAAGAAAATTACAATACTTATTAATATAAAATTGTGGTAGTAATTAGATAATTAATTGTATTATCAAGCTATGTCGGTTTTGAGAACAAAACTTTACAAAAGAGATGATTTCAGCTTCCCAATTGTGAACTTTCCATTTCTATGTAGCAACATTCCAACAGCACCTTTATATGGAGTATTTATATATCCCAGTTGATACGATATTCCAGAGCTTACAAGGAAGCTATTGAACAAAGAGTTTTAAGTGGTGAGATTGAAATCATCCCTTCGAAAAATTTCACGGACACCATCGCGAGTTGATTGACCGTTTTGGAATATCTGTTTC